ACCAAGTGCATCCTTTACGGGCATAGAGAGAATATCCGACAATTTTTCACCTTCTTTTACAAGCTCGTGTTCTAAATTGTCTGAAAAATTATTTAAACATGAAACTAAACAAATATTAATAACTAATGAGTCACCTTTACCTAAAATCGTTTGACTTTTTTCCAAAGTTAAGAGTTTAATGCTTGCTTGAGAGAAGTTGTAATTCCTATTGCCCATGACTAATTGCTCGAATACTTCACTCGTCTTATCGAAGTACTGTAATAATAAATAGCAAAAAAAACCACTTCCAATTGCTAATAAATAGGTCGATAAAAATTTGATTTTTACCTCAGAAACAAGTCTAAAGAATCTTTGCGAAGTGATTAATACATTTCTACGTCTTTCGAGTCGTGAAGCGAAGCTACGACAAACAAAGTCCATGAAATCTCTTTGAGATTTTAAATCTTCTGGTAATTTACTTTTAGGTAGGTTATCAATTTTATGAAGCAGCTCTGCATATCGCCCATAAGTCTCCTGTAAACACATTAGAATTATATTCCATGTAATACTTTATAAAACGAAATAAATTTTTAAAACAAAATGAAAATTATAAAATTTTACTTATTTACCCGGCATTGAAGCTCAATTTTTTCGTGTTGCCTTCGGAGCTCCTCGGATGAAGAAACGTCGAAGCCAACCTGACAACAGGAGTTCAGCATTACATCTGCTGGACCCAAAATCCAGTCAGTAACGCTTGATACACCCTGTTCCAGATTTTCGATTACTCTGGCAGTATCCAGGTTTCGTTCCATTTCTGTCCACGAATTTTCAATATCCATCTGCAAACGATAGAATAACATTGTATTAAAATATTGTACTAAATATGTATAAAATAAATTTAAATACGCCAATCGTAAATGTGATTAAATATAAATTAACCTGTTTTAATTCGATAGAATCGAATAACTTATGAATTCCTTTAATCGTATCCAAAATATCCTTAGAGGACTCTCTACTCATGGAACTTACTAGATTCCTACCTAAATAAGTGAAATTTAACTTTTTCCATTATTTTTACATAAGAGACATCATTGCTTAAAATAAATTATTAAATTTTTATTAGCACATCAGTTACAAACTACATACAACCTTTTTTTATTTATTTCTTAATATTCATATAATAGGGGAGAGTGGTCTAAATCGGACCGTGTTCTAAATAGGACTTTTTTAATTTAAATGAATACGGTTAAGTAGATTTGCGTACTATTTATAATGTAAAGTCCTTATAAGACACGGAACATGTGATAGCAGTTTGACAGTTCTCTATCATAACATTCATAAAATAGACGCAAATATGTATTTTCAACCACCGTGCGAAAATTTTTTTAAAAAAGAAAATCCTTGTAAAT